AGGAGATGAGATTGGCACCAGCCACAGGAGGAAACCCAAACGCATCTGTCCTGGTTTCAAACTGCAGCAGCATCACACCCTGCTCCTACCCGGGGTCATCGCAGCCCCGCAAACCTGCCCGTGCTACACCAGGTCAGGGGCGGGATGCGAATCACAGCTCATCGCCAGGCCACAGTGCGAGCTGCCGGCTCGTGCTCCCGTCCCTGCTCTCTGCTCCCCGGGACAAGCCACACGTCCCACCCTGAGCAGTGTCACCAGAGCTCAGATCCGGCCGCGACTCCCGCCAGCCCTTCCCAAGCGCTGCCTGGAAGCCATTTGCTGCCCACAGCGGCTCCTCGGAGCTGCCCCATGCTGCGGGTGCCATTCCTCATGGTCGGCTTTGTGCAAACTTGGCTGGAGCCTCTGGACACCGCTGCCATCATACGAGTCATTAACAATCGTGCTAATGAGTTCCATTACGCCAGGCCAGCTGCCCAAAGTGCCGCGGGACAGCCGGGCCCCACGAGCACATGCCTGGGAGGCCGGGTCTCCAGCCCCGGTGCTGGCAGGTGTCAGCGCACAGATCTGCTTCCATCTACAATCTTGTAATTTAGAGAGAAACTTCTGACGAAGGGCTGAAGGCAGCAAGAGAAACAGGGTCTCCTCCCCATCTGAACCCCCTCTCCTCGTACTATCAGGTTTCCTTCCAGCCACCCAGCCTCCAGGGCTCTCCTTCCAGCCGGGCGGGATGTTTTTAGCTGGCCTTTTTCTAGACAAACCCACGGAGAACCAAGTCTTGCAAGAGGGGAAAAAATGCGATCCCCACAGGAGAGTGGTTGCAAAGAGGACTCTCCTGGGCTGCAGGATGCTCTGCAATGACTCCAAGAGCTGGTTTTTGTCTGACTATGTGCTTTTAACTGGAATGGAAGATGACAGGTTCTCCTTGCCTGACCAAACCAAAGACTGAGAGATGTATCTGTGAGGATCAGTCCCCCAGCCAGCCCTCCTTCCAGCCAGGCTTTCTCTCGAGTGCCTCAGACAGCCAGGAGGCTCACAACCAGGACTCCAGAATCTGTGGACTCAGCTTTAAGCCTCCCCTTCTCCAGACTGCCGGGCTGTAGATGCAGCAGCTGGTAACATTTTAAATTAGAGGCTTACATTCACTTAACGACGCATTCAGCTTTGATTTACTGAAGGAATTACAGCATGTTAAATGAATACAAGCTGATTATTAAACAGACGCCGACTGCAACCTATCATCTGTGCAAGAGACGGGATCTTATTACGATATTAGAACCATATTGAGGTTTAGCAACTGTCAATTGGTCCCTTGCAATTTGCACTGAACAACTGTCCCATCGCCGTCCACACTCAGAGCCGCTTCGCTGGCTGCCTGAGCCCGGCGGGCTCCAGCTGCTCCAGAGCAGGTCCCCAGCCCCCCCCGCACCCCAACAGCAGAGCAGGGGCTACTCCCCAGGCACGCAAAGCACGACGTCTGCCAGCTGTACTCACCCAAAAGGGTCCAGGTCTTCCCCACCAACAGCGAAGGGGTTCACGGGGGAAGGCCTGAAACAACACACAGCAAAATGTTCCGCGGAGGGGACAGCGGCTGCGTGGAGCGAGCAGGGGCGAGCAGGGGTGAGCAGGGGCAAGCGTGCAGGCAGGGCAGCGGCTGCCGGTGCTGTGCTCATGGGTGCTCTCCCTCCGCAAGTGCTGCAGCACCCAAAGGGCTCTGGGACCTGCGGGACCCTGCACAAGCCACCCCATGCCCAGGACAAGCGCTCCCCGCCCCAGGGTGCCACTTGGTGGGGACACTGGTGTTGCAGGAAGCTTGCTGAGATGAAGGGGGCCCTGCTGTTCCCACTGCTCTGGGCTGGAGCTGTCTGTGGATGCCGCGGTTTCCATGCCAGTGGCTCCCTGAGTGGTGCTGGGCTAGGCCAGGCTCTCCAGTGTGTCCCAGCCAGAGACACAATGACAGTCCCACTTCCAGGAGCGCGAGGACAGCGGGGCGGTGAGCCTGCAGCCAGCTGTCACATGTCCTTGCCAATAATACATGCCAATAAAGTGGTTTCAGAGTCGTGCCCAGCTCCAGCCTGTCTGCCCAGGCCTCCCCAAGGAGCACCTCGCACCCTGAGCGCCAGCAGACAGCAGCGGGGTCAGAGAAGCAGGGTGTGGACCAGAGGGGTATTCTGGAGCCCTGTCCCGTCTAACGGGGCACCACCACCACTGCTCTTTACTCACCAGGTTGGTGGTCTCGTGCCTGCTGGCTGACAGGGAGGGATCCTGAGCGGGTCATAATCCCGGTGTAAGTCAGGATCCTCCTTCTCAGGCTCCTTTTTGGGCTTTTCTGCAGGGGCTCCAAGTGGAGCGATGATGCCCGAAGCAATCCTTGTCCTCAGCTCCTCGGTGTTCTTGTACACCCTGCAGGGAGAAGAGGCAAGGGGAGGGCTGGGGATGCCACAGAGAGGCTGCGACAGGGGTGGTGAGGGGACAGACAACCCAAAGCATCCCTGGCACAAAACGTGTCCCCAGCTGGCAGCACAGAGGGGACGGGAAGGGGTAACAGCACAGAGCAGCACCAAAGCCCTCACCCCATTTCAGACAGCAGAGGTGCCATCCAGCCCAGGGGACTCCCTTGTGCTGGGGCCACAACTTGACCAGTTTGCACTGGAGGAAACCACAGCATGTGGCACTGGCCTTTAGCAAGGCCACAGGGTGTCTGGGACACGGCTGAAGCTGTAGCACCCCTGGGCAGTGCCCAGGCAGCACAGACAGGCAGGCAGTGCTCTGAAAATAAAGCTGCTGGGCTGGTCTGGCCTGTTCCCAGGTGGGGTGGCTGTCCCCCAGGCTCCGACCCACGGTCCCACTATCCCCCAAATTTCTCCTGCCTGCCAGCAGTAGAGGGAGGCCGGGCACAGAGCTCTGCCTGCATTTCAGGGCTGGCTGGCCTGTCTCCAGGGTTGGTACCGGGGAGGAAAGTCCTCCAGGCTCCTCCTAACCTGGGCTCTGCCCCCCTCCCCATGCTGGTGGGACATTTTCTCCTGCAGAAAATACCAGGGAACTGAGATTACTTGTGGAAATCGTCCAGGTGCTTTGCGTTGATGTAGTCGGCCACTGCCAAGGTCACATCTGCCACCTTCTGAGAACCACGATCCTGACAAAACACAGGTCAGGCAGGGAGTCAGCAGCCTGGCAGCGCTGGGCATGAGGGAAGGAGCAGGTACAACCACAGCCGGTGGCTTGGGACACAAGGAACGGGCTCACTGGCTTCCTGCCACGTCCCTGTGCTGTGCCCGAATCCCCAGGAGCAAACTCCAATGCACAGGGAGGCCCTCCCTGCTCCCTCCCCCAGCTGCAAAGGGTGAAAGACTGAGCAAAACCACCCTGGGCAGCTGCTTGGGGGGGACAGGAAAAGAGACCCACAGACAAGTTCTGAGCTGAGAAGGGGACACAAGAGGGGCAACTCCTGGGCCACAGTGTGCAAGGCAAATGCAGCTGGTGTTTGACCAGCTTCACACCAGGTCACATCTGCTGCACAGGCAGGTCTGCAGCCCCTAACACCCCCTGGGTCTGCCCCTTCCTGAAGGACAAACACCGCTGCAAGGTAGAAAAAGTAACAGCAAAAAATTAAGAAATGGGTCCTGCTGTTCTTTGCACATTTTGGGTGGCAGCAGCTGCTGCCCCCGAAGGACCCCAATCCCCTCAGGGACCAGCCTGGGTGCTCACCATGACATTGAGGATCATGCTGTCTTCCACCATGACGGCCTTCAGCAGCAGCTCACGGGCATCGTCCGTAGACTTGTAGCGCAGTGTGTACACCTCCTTGTTAGCTTCCCAGCCGGCGGGCAGCAGCTCCGACTTCCTTTCATCAGGATGTGGCTGCAACAGAACAGACGTGGCTGCTGAGACCCTGCCCACGAGCCCAGCGTGCTGCAGGGCTGGGGAGGAACTGTTTGGGCTGCACAGAGAGATCCAGGAGGGGATCTTGGTCTCTGGGATGGGATCTGTCAGTGCCTTCCAGGTTATAACTGCAGAAGCGGGGGGATGCTGGGGGGGTTTCTCTGCCAGGACAGCACCGTGAACGCCCACTGCTGCCCAGCACCGCACCAGGTACCCTCCCAACGCCCCCCAGCACCTCACCAAATCCCCAACCCACCAGACCCCTTCCCCCTTAGC